CTTCCTTCCTTCCTTCCTTCCTTCCTTCCTTCCTTCCTTCCTTCCTTCCTTCCCTCCCTCCCTCCCTCCCTCCCTCCCTCTTTCTTTCTTTCTTTCTTTCTTTCTTTCTTTCTTTCTTCCTTTCTTTCTTTCTTTCTTTCTCTTCATTCAAGAAGGTTTGCCAAACGGGCCTCAGTCCAGAGGTTGAAAAGCACTGGTCTATAGTTTGTTATAAGGGTTGTCTACCTGGCTGGTGAGCCTCAGGGTTCCACCTGACTCCATTTCCCCAGTATTCCAAGGGCATGTCAGTCCACCCAGCGTTAAAAATAAAGTACTCTTTGATAATTGTATACAGTGTGCTTTGAACATATTCGGCCCCTACTCCTCTCCTAACTCCTCTAAGATCCACTCCCACCTCCTTCCCCTCTCAAATTGGTGTTCTTTTCAATGTGTGTGTGCTCAGCTTTTTAACATGGGTTATAGGAATGGAACCCGTGTCCTTGTTCACATAAGGCAAGCGCTTTACCTACAGAGCTATCTCCCAAGCAGGTAGTCTTCATGAAGGATCCTTTGCATGATTTTTTTCTATACCAGTACAAATGGGGAAAACCACAGCTGCTTCTTGTATTGCTTTTCCCTGAGGCCTTTCACCATTCTAGAGCCCATTGCCCAGTAATTACTTGGAGGCTGTACTGGAAACTTACTGGGTCTTTGCACATAAAACATGGTCCTTCACTTTCCCTTCACAATAGATACTGTCTGGGGTGTTTTTATAATTCTATGCTTAAAAAGAGATTTCTCCAAGAAGTTGGGATGCTGGTCCTCACTCTCTGCTCTGCTGCTGCTGCTGAGAGTCTGACTTACTCCCCTGGAGGTAACTATTGGCTTTACTTCTTCTTCACAATTCTGGTATCTCATAATATGTCTGGCTCCATCTGTTTTCAGTCAGAGTGGTTCAGTTGGCTGACTGGCTTACTCTGGTTTTCCTAAAGATTCTCTCTCAGACCCTCTCATCAATGGCAGGAAATCTTCTCTGCGATACTTCCTTTCAGAGGGGCATACATGTGACCAATTCTGGAACCCTGGGTTCTCCTATTTCTGTGGAGTGAGCTGTCAGGAATATGTGGTCTCCTGGACAGGGGCATTCCTGAGCTAAGTTGTCACTTGACACCAGGCTTTTCCATGTTTCCCAAAGCCAGACACATCTCTCTAGAGAGAGTGACTGTATTAGTTACTTTCTTATTGCTGTGATGAAATGCCATGGCCAAGAATGAAACAGTTATGTAGGTGTTTGGTTCCTGTTAAG